CCTCCTCCGCGGTCCGCTCTCGGGCCAGCCTCACCTGCTGGCATCTGCCCGCCACGCCCTCCAGCTCTTCAGCCAGGTTGTCGCGCGCTACTTCGGCCGCGTGCTTCTCCCGCCAGCGCTGATCGACGAGGGCCCGCAGCGCCGCCAGCTCGTCGTCTGCACGGGCCCGCCAGGAGGTGTCTCCGGACTGTGCCCGGAGACCCCCAAGCTCGGCGCTGAGCAGCTCGTTCTGCTCCTCTAGCGCCTTGACTCGGCTCAGGTAGGCCTCCAGGCGACGATTGAGTTCCCACATCTGAAAAGATTCCTCCCCCATGCAGCCCTCCATCCTGTTCCTCTGATACGCCGAGGGCGGACAGCGCGGGGTACAAGGAGAAAGGGAGCGGCTCTCAGAGCTTTTAGGGTGAAAGGGAAAAGGAGACGACGGGGACAATGCCGGGGCGGGGCGGGGAGTAGCCAGAGCGGCCGAGAGTCGGAGCGGGAGCTGGAGCGAGGCTATTCATACTCCCGCCAGCCGGGCGGGAAAAGGGGCGGGACCCTGCCTTAACCCCTTCGAGTCCAGAGACTCTAGTCCCAGAGTGCTGGAGAACGGCCCCCAAGAAGTCACGTCCCGGCCTTCCTGATCCTGATCGATCTGATGGCGGAGGCTCTCTGAGGGAGGAGGCCGCGAGGAAGGGTCTTATCCCCATGAAAGCAGAAGATGCACAGAGGTGAGGCTTGGAGGGAGTTCCAGAACCTGGGATGGGGCGCGCGTGTGGGCACCTTAGCGCAGGCAGGAGAGCCCTCCCCTCGGAATTCCTCCAAGACTGTTTCCTCATCCAGGAAATGGGAGCGATGATGGAAAGTTCACGAGCTGCTGAAAGGATGCACGAGGCCTTGTCTTTGTAGATATTATAACAACCCCTCCCCGACATACTGGAAGGAGGCGGCATGGCAGGAAGAAGCTGAGAAAACAGCACATGCCTGCTCTGGGGGGACACGAACCACTTACACACACCCCCCACAGCCTCAGTCTCCCTCAGGAAGGGGACAGGCAGAGAGGAGTGTCATGTGCTTGCGAAGGTTTTCCTCATTCCACTTCCATCGCTCCTACAACTTTTCCATATAAATGCTGAGGTTTGTATACCCACGTCTGGAAATTTCCCCGCAGTCTTTAGAAGAGGACGCCCATCTTTTGCCCGGGATCTCAGGGACTTTCGGGCAGAAGGCGCCCCCTGGTGGCTGACGGATCGGGTCAAGAAGAGAAAGCAAAACCGACAGCCATCACTAGCCCGTTTACCGCCTTCGTGATGCCCAAGATGTGCTAGCATTTCATTTACGTTCTCTGACCAAACCCTCAAAACAGCCTTTTGAGGATTCTAGAGTTCAGGAATCGGGGAGCTCACTGAAGCTGGGAGTAGTTGCGAAGGCTTTCTAAAGGAGAGAGTGCTTTTGAGCCTAGAGGTAAGGGACAGGTGGGATTTGGGGTACCCAAAGTAGAGGTGAAACAGGGCTGGCGGAGGAGACGCGGAATGAGATGGAGGGGATCTTCGGGGAAGGGTTTCTGCCCATGTGAATTCAACCTAGCTCTGCAAGTGTTCATCGAACACCTACTCTATGTCCAGCGCCAAAGAGATTGCAGGGACGTTGCCCAGCCCTGCCATGCCCGCAGTCTGTGACGTGAGGTGGACAGTGACGGGAACCGTGGCCAGCGGTGGAGGTCCGCACGGTACGCTGATTACACTCCTTGGGCCGCACCTCCGGGACTGCGCACAGCGCTGAGGGAACACCTGGATGGAGCGGGCTTGCTGGCTAGAGAGTACTGCAGAGTCGGCGGCCAGGAGGCCATCCGCCAGTGCTCCCACCCCTCAAGGGGTCTGGCTCCACCCATCCCTGTCCCCAGGTCTGCTGAGCCTGGACCACCAATGTGTGCAGGGGAGGCCAGGAGGGGCGGGGGAGCTGTCAGAGGACTGACTGGCAGTCAGTGAGGACCACAGGCTGAGGATCCTTGGCGCCCCGGTTTCTCCATCCTCACCTTACATCACAGATACCGCTGTTTGGTTTGAGCTGGGGGCTCCCAAGAGTGGCAGTGAGTCCAGCAGGTGGCGTAGTGGTTAAGGTGCTGGACTCCCACATGGTTGACTGTGGTTCAAGTCCAAGACCCAGTGGCTTGAAACACACCAGGCACAAGTGCACATATGCCCGAAATCCCACAAGGAGAATGGAGGAGAAGGGTTGCGGTATGGCTCCCCCAGGGGGTGATTTCTCGCTTTCTGTCTCTCTGGCCAACACATGCACCTTACAGCAGAAATCTCTCAAAAAAAAAAAAAAAAAAAAAAGAAAGAAAGAAAGAAAAAAAGAGTTGTGGCCAGGAGAGCTGACTTTGGTCTCACTCCTCTCTTTCACTTCCTGGCTGTGGGAAAAGGAGGCCAAATATGTGACATCCCCTGGGGTCCTTGGGGGTCGTCTGGAGGGGAGGCGAAATGGGGTGGTGTTTCTCCCCTGGCCCCCTCAACATCACCCAAAGGAGAGAAGTTTGGCATTCTGTCTCATGCGAAACGTGGAGGGTCCCACTTGCACGTTCTAGCTGAGTGACCTTGGACAATCACACTTCAAGTGAGCCCCAGTTCACCTGTTTGACAGGGGAGAGTAATCCCTACCAATTCCTGGAAGCCTGTTCTGAGAATCAAACAAAACCAGGTGTGGGGAAGTTTTTGTTTGTTTGTTTATTGAAAGAGAGAGCACACCTCTGACAGGGTCTCCAACCCGCACCCCAGCCCCTGTCTCAGCCCGCCGGATCATGGGCACAGGCATGCCTGGCGTCCTCAGGAAGGTGTGCAGACATGAACCAGCGGTCACGCCATGTGGGTGTGCCTTGAAGAGCATCACGTGTTACCACTGCACCACCATTGCCCCCCCCCCCAGGTCTTTTTACAAAGCTTTTATTAAACAGGTTTTTTGTTTGTTTGTTTTTTGAGAGATTTTCGCTATAGGGCACTTGTGCTCGCCAGAAAGACCCAGAGAGACAGAGAGACAGAAAGCGAGAAATCACCCCCCAGGGGGGATGGCCATGCCACAGTCCCTTTTCCTCCATTCTCCTCTCAGGATCTTGGGCACGCACGCACATGCACCCGGCGTGAGTTTAAGCCGCTGGGTCCAGGACACAAACCGTGGTCCACGACATGGGAGTTCAGCGACATAGCCATTACGTCAACTGCTGGTCCCAATAAATACAATTTTTTGCAGGGCCAGCCAGCTGGCATGGCAAAGGCAACTGTATCCCACATGGCTGACTGCAGGACTCAAGTTCCAGACCTGGCAGCTTAAAAAACACACCAGGCACGTGTGTGTGCATGCCCAGAATTCTGAGAGGAGAGCGGGGGAGAAGGGATTGCAGCGTGGTCACCCCCTGGGGGATTTCTCTCGCTCGCTCGCTCTCTCTCTCTCTCGCTCTCGCTCTCTCTCTCCCCCTCTCCCCTCTCTCTCTCCAGAATGATGAGTAGGCTCCCATCTCACTCTGACCCTCTGGGCCTGCTGTTTTGAGCACTTTGCAGAGAAGTCACCTGCCGTCCTCCTCTCTCAGCGCTGTCTCCACCCTACTCTACACAAAGTAGTAGCGTCTGCAGCGGGGTGTGGCCACCAGGGGCCGCTATTGTCTCAATAAAAGCTGCATTCCCTGGGAAACGAGTTTGTGTGCGCGTTTTTAAGGTTTTTTGCCATAGAGCAAATGTGTTCCCCAGAGAGAGAAATAGTGAGAAATCACCCCCCGGGGTGGGGGCATGCTGCAGTCCCTTCTCCTCTCCGGATTTTGGGCATACACGCATACCACCTGATGTGTTTTCAAGCCGCCAGGTCTGGGACTCCAATGTGTGGGGTCCAGGACCTAAACCACCATGCCACCTACTGGCCCCAAGTGTCACCCTCTTTATCTGTAAAATGTGACAGGAATACCCTGCTCATCTGCGCCCAGCGTGCTCACGTCTGTGGGGTTGGGAGCTGGGCCTGCCCTGTTCAGATTCCTGGGGCTTGTTCCTCGGCCGGCGCTCGGTGTGTTTATGAACCGAATGAACAGTGACTTCGGTGGGGCGTCCGCGCTGTTACCCAGCTCACTGCGCAAGCGTCCCTGCCCGCGTCTCTTGGTCGACGTGTGTGTGCTGGTGTTTCCGGAGCAGTCTGGGCTCAGGAACTGCTGGTCTAGGGAACACATACGTGTCTCCAACCTTGCCGGATAACCTAGATATGCTTTTTTTTTTTTTTTTAACTTTTTCAAAAAATGTTTTAAAAGAATTATTGTATTTAACTTTATTTATCCGTTCATTTGTATGTATGTATTTATTTATTTATTTATTTTCGGAATCCAAAAGCTTTTTAATAACGGGGCAGCATCCGGGGTTAGTTTTTGTAGCCTTGGCTGGCATGTCGGCCTCTGGCACGCTCGAACTCCCGGCCCTTGGAGCAGGCGTAAGGTTTGGTGTGGCTGTTGCAGGGTTCCAGGAGCCTTGCTGAAATGCCGGTACACCTCGCGGCCCTCGCGAGGACCGGAGAGTAGGACAGTGCCACAGCCCTTGGAAGAGTCCAGGGCCAGCTGGTCAAAGGTGAGGATCCTTCCCCCAGCCTTGAGGATGCGGCTGCGGTCTGGCTGGTTACACGCAGCGCACACCCCTTCAGCTTGGGCGCCTCCTGAATGTGCACATCGTCTGTGATGGTCCCCACGACCACAGCCGTTTTGTTTTCCCGGCCAGGAAGCTTCCTCT